CTGTGAATTCACTAGTTTGCTCTATTTCCCTCAGGAAAAAAAGATAAAGATTTTTTTATATTCTGTATTGTGTATTTCTTAAGTTAATGATGCTTTATCAAATTCTGAGGAATTTCAGAGTGGAATAGCAACAGGTAAGTGTACGAAAAATTCCCGGTTCAAATCTTGGCTAAAGTTTTCATTTTGTTTCTTGGTATTTTCAGGCGAATATTGGGATAGTTCCCTGAAATCATCTTCAAATTCTTGCATGATCACCATTTAAGTCTATCTTGCCAACTCATTTGCATTACAGGAGCATGACTTTCTATTATTTTCGCATGAAACAGCGTCATTAAGTAGATTAAAACACATGCAAGAAAAGGTATGATGAATTTGAATAATAAACTATGAATGAACTGAAATTTTCTGTCTCTGTCTTATGACACTATTATACATCTAATTTCTTTAAGCTGCCTTTTAATATTATCCTTTCATCGATGTTTGTATCCTAAATAATCTGTTATTTGCTATTCTGGAGAAGAGCTTTGTCCTAGCTGGCGTTTAAGGAAATACACTATTATTTATAATTCATTAACAAAGTTTTCCATAAGTTAATGTATTGGTACTGGTCTGTAGTCAGATGTTTTTGTCAACGTTTCCGTTTCGCCTCCAAACCAGTTCTCTGAGTAATGACACGAGAATATCTGCTTCCTGCAGATTTTCCGACTATAATTCCGCTTGTACTTCTCGTCTTCCCATGAACATATCTCATCATCCTAATAGTATTTGGCGAAGAGTAAAATTTCAGAGCTTCTCCCAATTGTCTGCCTTAAGCCTAAATATTCCCAGAATAAACTGTCACACCAAAATATCTTACTAAAATATGTCATCCTATTACTAACAAATTCAGTTTCTTAAATGTGCTCGATTTTGTAATGTAAATGAACTGCCAGCGGTTCCTTCTTTGGAACACCGCATTCCTAGTTCCTTTCCCACGTGCTAATCTATGACATCATAGCCGATCATAGCTACACGGACATTTTTTAAGAGTGTTTTGTGGTTGGGTTTGGTTACATTCGCTTAGCGTAGGGAACCAGGGTTGCATTTTAGAAGGAGCTCCAAAATGGCGACAGTAGGAATTCATACGGTGGAAGAGGAGAGAAAGAGACATACAATCGCTGTGGAACTGAAGGTGAGATACTATTTATCACCCTAAATGTAGATATGAAGTTAAGTTAAATTATAGCTGGTGAATTATGTGTTGATGAGAATTTATTTTGGTACGGTTGTATTTTGACGTCATAAAAGGCATGGTCTGTATGGAAACGTTCTGTATACTGCATTCAAAAAACATTTCCTGTTCATCGCATGATGAAATAGCACATTATTAATTATGCAGCACTCTGTAGCTACACATATACATGTATATAAATACGAATGTAGAGTACTGTCTTCTGGGATATAACGCCGCGTAGTCCGTTGAAAGCCTACCGACGTTTCGGAGGAACGCATCGCTTCCATTCTCAGGGTCGGATAAGCCGAGCAAGATATTATCGTGAAGATAGTTACCTTCGTAACCACCGCTGTGAGAACATCAACCCCTACACATATAAATGTAATCTAATAGAAGGACGTAAGTGGTTTAAAGTGTTAGGCTAGAAGGCTAGGAACACACACAGCGACATCGGTCATACGGAGAAATGTACGATTTTTTTGCCGTACGACCTCCTTTTCACACTAGAGCAACCAGATACATTTCTTTGCTCTCCGACTGTCGTACGGTAGATGTCGCATGTCGTCACGTATGAAAGCTACACTATACTACATTCTACTACTTAATGCGACATGAACCGTACGGACGTCATACGACCGATGTCGCTGCGTGTGTTCCTAGCCTAAGGGCTCTGATATATAAATTTAAACGAAACGAAACGAAACGAGTACCAGTAATTTAAACTGATATACTATTTTTTTAATAATATGAGATCTATTATATATTTAACTTAAAATACAATAACCTCCATGACCTATTGAAATGAAGCAGGAAGCAATGGACGTGAACAGGTGGACCGCGGCGTTTCATATGTAAATATGCCTGTAAGGTTACGTTAGATATACTGAATTTATTGTAGAAGATATTCAGTATGTGTGCCTCTAAATTTACATAACAGAGGCCCTATATTTTGGTGGTACAGTATTTCCGTCCGTGACATTTGAAACAATTCTTAAACCTAAATTTTTATACTAGACACAGTTTTTGGATTGACTTTTGAGTCTGTTAAACGTTTATGTCTCGTAACTACAAATAATTGCAGCACCTTCACTGCTCTGCTCACTTCACAAATAGCTATAGCTCATTCCAAGTCTTTATAGCCTCCTATGCCTTCACGTGATCGTTACTTAGTAGCTGCTTCTAACAGTGGATTTTCATTTTACTACTTCCGTTCTCAAAGGCTGCTGTCTTCGCTGGCTGGTGACTGGCTGCTACCACCCACTGACTCCTCTACAGTGGAGTACAGTACAGTAATTTGCTGTTGGCATTCGCCAGCACAGTTATTCTTGGTTTCGGGTCCCGTCGGGACTCATCAGAAAATTGTCATTCGTTCCTAGATTTTTATGTGCGCAGAAATGGGACCTCTTCTTCTACAATAGGAGGCGTCTGACTGCTCACACAGTCCTCTCCTGTCATCGAAGAGGACTGACTTCTGGACCCACAGGCCCACCTTATATAACTTCGGCACGTACATCAGACTGGCCACTTGTTCTGGAACAAATGGACACTCTGTAGAAAGGATTCCAACAATTCCTAGAGGCCCACCTTGAACTCAATTCGGATAAGTGTCAACTCTTTCAGAAAGAGGCACGGTATCTGAGGCACATTCTATTGCCACAGGGAATGACCGTAGACCCCGAAAAAAGTTGAAGGCCGTACGGGAGTGGCAGACACCGAGAACAAGCATGAACTAAGGAGCTTCCTGGGCCTGTGTACCTACTACAGGCGGTATATCTCCGGCTTTCCTGACACTGGGAAACTCTTGACTAGACTCGCAGAGGAGAAAGAAGCCATTCAATGGTAACCAAAGGTAGAGGCCGCCTTCCAGTCACTGAGGGAGGACTTTTGTGCCTTACCTGCCCTCGGTTGTCCGCAACCAGCAGTCCATCGTTAACACGGACGCGAGGAACGTCGGAATTGGATGTGTACTGTCGCAGGTACAGGACATCCAAGAGCGGACAATACAGTAAGACGCTGAACAAGGCAGAGAAAAACTGCTGCGTCACCGGGCGGGACTAGGGCATTAACTTGGAGTCTCGCCTTATGCAGAAGGTGTTGCAATACCTTGGAGTGAGCAAGAAACGCACAACCACCATCCACTCTCCCTCTAACCGCAGTGGGGAGGCACGGTGAAGCTATATAAAATGGTCGAGAAGCGCCTGAGGGACTACGATATGACTCTGTATATCTTCCTTATTTCCTATAGGGCATCCACGCACGTCACTACGGAGCTGGCTCCAGCTAACATAGTGCTCGGGAGAGAACTGCGCCTGCCATGTGACCTGTTGTTCGGAGCTTTACCTGAGGAAAAACGAGCCACCATCGGCTACACGACATCCACAACTACGCCAACCAACATCTGAAGCTGGTCAGCGACAAAATGGAAACGCGCAACGGCCGTCTGTCTAGCCCCGCGGGCTACCAGGAGGGCTACAAGTATGGCTGTATCAGCCAGCCTGCACCGCACCAGAGGAGATTCACCGAAGTTTCGACCCTCATGAGAGGGCCCATACAGGTTAGTCACCCGAATCAGCGATATGATGTACATGATTCAGTGACACCATAGAACGAAGATGGTAGTAATACACCTGTGACGACTAGTGCCTTACCTGGGAGCCGTCCGAAACGAGCAGCCCTAAGGAGGGAGCAGTTGGAAAACAGCAGCGTGAGACTTAATTCATGAGGACTGAAGGCTGGACGCCTGTCGAAATCGGAGGAAGAAACATGGAGACTAGTATGACGTGTTGGTGACATTCACTAGGTCACTCATAGACTGGTGAAGGCCAGCGGTAAATTACTTCTCTACTCAGAGTAGTCACAGAAGGACTCCGCAATTTGAGGCGCTGTCCCAGCATTTGCCTAGAGGGGCTGAGGAAGACTACGGAGAACTGAACTCTGGAGAGTCGGTCTCGGGACCGAGATTTGAACTCGGGATGTCCTGAATAGAAAACAGGATTGCTGCTTACTCGATGATGACGCTCGGTAACTTGGGGTCGTGGTGTCAGTTCATAAGTTCCAGCATTCTTTGGGAAGAGAGAGAATCTTGTAAGAATATTTCAAGAATATTTCTGGTACTCATTTCTGTTAGAAGGCGCACGCGGTAGCGTAGTTGGTTGAGGTACTATGCTACAAGCCGAAAGGTCGCGGCTTCAAGTCCTGATGAAGTTATTGGATTTTTTTCAACTGACCTAGTCCTTCCAGCCGCACTATGGCCCTGGGGTCGACTCAGCGTCTGACAGAAATGAGTACTAGGAATATTCTTGGGGGTGAAGGGCGGCCGGCGCGTAGGGCTGACAACCTTGCCGCCATCTATGAGCCGATTGTCTAGAAAATGAACCTCAACATCTCACAATCCTATAGGCCTCCATGGTCTGTTACAGAGATACCTTTACTTTTTACTCATTTCTGTTAGAGGCTGAGTCAACCCCAGGGCCATAGTGCCGCTGGGAGTAATAGGTCAATTGAAAAAATTCAACGACCTCATCGGGACTTGAATCCGCGACCTTCCGGCTTGTAGCATAGTGCCTCAACCAGATACGTAGCCGAAACATGTAGCGACATTGTATTCTACACCAATAAAACTCAATTGTACACAACAAAGTGTGAGTGAGTTATTTTGTGAATTGTTGTGTTGGACTAAAATTAATAGCATAATTTATATGCAGTAAAATACACAACAGTATGCATTCCTTAAAGACTGATGAGACATATAGACATATATGTGACTCGAGTCGAGGAGTTTTAAAAGAAATTACAGTTGCAGACATACAGTTAAATTCTTTGAAAATTATTCACTCTTAATACCACCCTACGTACAATAGAGCCAAGGTTCCACAAGTGTTTCTTCTTGGCAATGTATGATAGATAGGGGTAAAGTTATCCCTGGTGTTAATTAATTGAGTACCACGCCATGGATACTGATGGGGGGTTGGCAGCATAGTTCCAGCACTCTAAACTTTGTCGCATCATTGATATAAATGGTTGGCTTTACGCTTCTGTCGCTTTACCCCCGGTACCCACTATGTAGGAGGCTAGGCCCAAGATCCGGTCTGGACGTCATGAACAAGAGAAAAGTCGCTTGCCCCTACCAGGAATCGAATTCCGACTCCTCGGCCGTCCAACCCGTCGGTTACTGGTAGACAGGCTTTACACCATCGTCAGAATCCTCTAGAATTTAGGCTTAATGGATTTTATAGTTTTTTTTTTTTTTAGTTTCTTGGGATGGGGTGAGACTCAGTCCACTTGGTACGTCGCCACTAACTGGCGAAAACTTTAATGGCCGTTTATATTAACGATACGAGTACACTCGCTTTGTTTCGACTGAATATTATATTTGGTAGGACAAATAAGGACACAAAGGAGACAGATGTGCCTTAAATAGGGTTTGGCTTTCTCCGAACCAGATTTCATAAAAGCCAATAGAGTTAAATTCGTTCGGATCTAAACCTGGCAATTTTCTGGTTGAAATGTAAGATGCGATTTGAAAATCGTTTAATTTAATTTAATTTTTTTATTTTTTTGCGTCTGTATTTGTGCTTGTATCTGATAGCCTCTTCTGAGGTTCATTCTGCGACCCACAGTTTCGGGACTAGCCATCGTCTTAAACTGATATATTTCGATTCGTAATCGTCATAAATCTCGTTCGTGTGTGCTATTTCACGGACGTATTCACCTTGTTAATACTTGGGACGCACGTGCCGAATATAATACGTACATGGCTTAAACATTTCCGTCGGACACATGTATATGATTAATACCTGTAATGAACACGTGTGACGTCATTATCTTTGTGTAATACACGGCCTGACTATTTTAATACTCATACAATAGAGTGATATATGCAGCAAACCAATATCTCACTTTACCATCCTGTTAGGTTTGACGGGGGGGGGGTGTTTTTTAACGGCATATTCAGTAATGTGTAAGTGGATTGCACTACTCCCAGAGTCGTGAGACAATAAAAGATTGTCATGACTCCCTCGGGACTGAACCAAGAATGAATGTGCTGGCGAGGACCAGCAGCAGTTTACCTTACCCGACCCCAGATCATATAGCGTCGAATGGTACGGTTGATAGATGAATGAAAATTGATTGAAAAGGATTTGGGAGGAAGCGGGCGTTGCATAATTGAAGTACTATCGTGGGATTTGTTAAGGACTGAGGAGGAGCACACAAAACCTCAGTAGGATAGCCGGTGTTCCGGCCGGGATTCGAGTAGAGCACCTCCCGAATACAAGTATAGAGCATTCTCGGCCACCCTGTTCGGTCTCCTGTTGTTGGATTAAGGATAAATGTACTGATCTGTCATTTAGATACGTGTAGGCCTCTGTGGTCTAGTGGTCAGAGTTCCTGCCTACAGATCCTGGGGTCCCGGGTTCGATTCCCTGCGCTACCAGATTTTGTGAGAAGTAGTGGGTCTGGAACGGGGTCCACTCAGCCACGTGAGCATAATTGAGGAGCTATTTCAAGGAAATAGCCGCTCCGGTCTAGAAATCCGAAATTTACGGCCGTGGGGATTCGTTGCGCTGACCACGCGACACCTTCTATCCTCTAAAGTTGACACTAACTTCGCCGACAAGCGGCGGTCGCTCGGTCGGTGTAGTTCACTCTGCGAACTAAAACCACGGATTTTTGTTGTTTTGTAGGTATATGTATTTACCCACCAGACGGGTAAGTATCCTGATCAGCTAGATGGTTAAGTATACTCATTGAACAGTCTGATGAATAAGAATAAGTAAATGTATTGATCCGTCAGAGGAAATAATATGTCAGTATTATCACTAAGACGGATAATGATAAATGGATTTTGCATTGTACGGATAAGAATAAGTAGGGATAAATATAGTGTCACGTGTCACAGTGACTAAGACACGGGTATGGATTGGTGAATCGATTTATTGGATCTTCATTAGTCGTAACTACAGTTCTTACACTCTCAAGATTACCGTAACTGTGGCACAAGTAACATCGCACACTATTTTTTTTGTTACTAATAGGGTGGGCCTTGTACTGCGGCCACTTCTGGCCTATTGTACCAGCCCCAGAAGATAGGTGAGAGTGATTGTGGAGCAACTGGTGGAATGAAGATTGGCAGGGGAAACTGAAGTACTCGGAGAGAACCTGCCTTAACATCACTTTGTCCACCACAAATCCTACATGACCGAACTCGGGCCACCGCGGTGGGAAGTCAGCTTTTAACAATACCAGGTAACTTGTACGAATCAGGAAATTCTCAGTTACGTGGGCTTGAACGTTAGCATACCATTGATGATCCGTTCTGCTGAACATGCATGTTAAGCATGCAGTTTATGCTTTGCGTACCCAAACGTTCGATTTGTTTCTACATTCTTGCTGAAAAGTCGGAGCAGATCTCTCTTCTCCCCATTTTATGACAAACATAATCTGAAACACTTTTTGTTGCCGTAAAACAGACAGAATCACAATGACTGTTTGACATTATATGGGCACGTGATCCACCACGCTTCAACGCACCAATGTTGCCAGTTATTGGTGAAGACAATCAGTCTGGTTATTGTTAAAAACGTAGAGGTATCCCTGTAACAGGCCGTGGAGGCTCACAGGGTTGTGAGAGATCGAGGCTCCCACGTTTTATAGACAATCGGCTGAGGTCAGCCTTATGCGCCGGCCGTTTTTTACCCCCCAGGAAGATTCCTGGTACTAATTTCTTTTAAGAGGCTCAGTCGACCCCCGGGCCATAGTGCGGCTGGAAGGATTAGGTCAACTGAAAAAATTTAATGACCTCATCGGGATTCGAACCCACGACCTTCTGGCTTGTAGCATAGCGCCTCAACCGCGTACCCCTCTGGTTATTGTTAGACCTCACATATGCATAGACGGTGTGGGTTGTATCTTCAGTCGAGTACCCATCCTGGAATATTTCTCACTAGTCAGCATGAACGGCCGGTCACGGTAGCCGAGCGATCTAAGGCATGCGCTGTCTTCGCTCGCTCGGAAGCTGGGATTGGGGGTTCGAATCCCACTCAGGACATGGATGTTTGTGTGCGTTTTTCTGTGTTTGTCTACAGGTAGAGGCCTTCCGACGAGCTGATCACTCGCCCAAGGAGTCCTACCGAATGTGTAAGATCGAGAAAAACCGAAGTGAACGGAGTTCATGGAGGTAGGCCTAGGCCAACTGGGGCTGTAGTGCCAAGGGGGGGAGGAAGTCAGCATGAACAGTTGTATATGTTGCGTTATTACTAACACAAGAAATAAATATGCAGTGTTATGAACACATGAGGCGATTCTCATAAATCGGGCATAATTGTGCCAGAGGACTTACCGTGCACTTGATTCTGAATATGTGACTCTGGTTCATTGTTGTTATTCAAGGCCATCCTTCTGCAGTGACCACTGCGTGGTATAACTGAAGGCACAGTTCTGTGGACGTGTTGGCAAGTCTGTCATTTCGAAATTGTCATGGTGGGATCCGCGGTGTAGGGTCTCCTTTGTCCAGGTTATCGTTACTCATCTGAACCCATAACATTATCACCGTGATTGTCAAAGCGCGCCCATTGAATCCTGTCCTGGCCCAATTTATCTCTGATAAGAACTTCACAGTCAGTTACTCTAACGCCAGTTTTAATGTTATACTCCCGTCTACGTTTAGATATTCCAAGTTTGTACTTTCCTTAAGGTTTTCCAATTGAATTTCATTTCTTCATTTGCTGTATTCCTCGCCTGTCCATGTGCGCCGCCAGTAGTTTTTTAAGGGGAGGGGTCACTTGAAAAATTTGCTTTCCAACTTGCATTTAAACCGTTTAATACTATTATCTTTACTATTTAAAAATAATTTTAATGTCAATTATTAGTGTTTGGTATATATATTTCAAATTTGATTATTTTTTAGAAATCAAGGGGAAGTGTCAAATGTCTGGTTACCCCTCTGCCGCGCCCATGGGGTTTTGTCTGATCCTTAATTTAATTACCTTAATAAACCTCCTCTTACTACTACCACCACCACCACCACCACCACCTACTACTACTTTTTTTCCCCCCCTTAGCACTACAGCCCCAGTGGGCCTAGGCCTACCTCCATGAAC